CTGAGCAGGGGAAAACCTCCACATGATCCGTTCAAGTTCTCATTGGAAATCAAAGTGACAGCCCCCTCATTTACTCCTCTGAGTCCAACGTAAGTATACCTGTCCGCGCTCCAACGAGTTCCCTCTACTCTGGATAATCCTACACAGACTGGATTCAAAGATTGACAAGAGCCCCCTCAAACGTGAGTCTCTCTCCTGCACAATTCAAACTGCAGTCTCAATTCCCACGGTCCCTGAACTGATCTCTGTGATCTTCCTTTCTGACTTTCCAGTTCCGGTTCACCAGTTAACCGAGTTCCAGATCCAACCCCTGTTCTCATTACCTCAAATTAACCTGTTAAACCTTTCTCCGTGTTCTCTGAGTGGTTTCTCTCACATTCTCACGAAAGGCCTGAGTCAGTCTATTTTATGCCTGTGTTAAACTGTAGCTTTCATGTCAATTCTTGATTACTTTCACTATTATTTGGTTTCATGTTTCATGCTGATGTGTGTTGGATTTTTTTTTTTCCTAAAAAAATTTGAATTAATTACAAACGCATCAAATAAATGTAACTGCTGCTGCCCCCATGTGCCAAAGGAACAGGGATGGAGCTATAAGCCAAGGCCGCCCCTGGCCAGTAATGGCTACGGCTATGACCACCTTGATCTGGTGATTTGTTGTTCCATTGTAACTTACTGTACCACCTTAAGAACAAGCAGTGCCCTCTGAACCATAGGGTGAAAGCAGTGATAGTCTGAACTGGAATATCCTAAATAACTTGAATTTTCCTTTCTTAGTATATTCAACATTAACTGACAACACATTGCAGTAATTTAAATATTCAGATGAATGTGCTTAAGTTAAATATGATAAAATAACTATTTTTCTCTCTATGTTGAAGAAGGGAAAGAGTTAAAGAACAACCCCTTAGATGTTGATAGTAGCAGTCCTTTTCCAGTTGGTACAGTGTGATTAGTGTAGATCCAACCTAAACTAGTTTGGGCACCTATCAGTTTCTCGTATTTTCATAAGTCACCCTTGAATAAAATCCGGTTCACCATTGTAAAGGAAGATGCTCTCCATTGCCTAAACAGTTGAACTGCTGCACATACTAAAAAAAGGGAGCCACTAACAAACTAATCCACAGCTCAGTACATACAGAAGGATGAAAGAATATGAAGAGGTTGGTAACTTTCCCCACTAAAACCATTGTGAAGATGGAGTCTGCATTAGTTTTGTGAATCAATGACAGCAGGTCAAAGAACATCACATTGGATAGGATTATCATCTGCACAGGGGCAAAGTATAATTTTTTGAAACTTATCTAAAAAAAAAAAAAAACAATGACTTTCCAAACAATGAGGGTGACTGTGATGTGGAGCCATGGCCATGCAGTGCCTCTCCCACAGGACCAACCAAATTAATCAACAGCAAGGGCTGATTTGGCAAATTTCAGAAGCTCTTTCTTTGCCTGGAGAAGCCACCTCTGTACATTCAGTTGGAGCTGAGGAGTGGGTGAACAACACATTTAAGGCCATCATCAAGGAAGACCCTACAAGCCTACAAGTTCTTAAATATGGATTACAATAGATTGTTTTGGAAACTAACGGGTTTTGCAGCTTTACAATAAAGAATGTAGCAGACGGACGTTCACATTGTGTACGTCAGTCTGCTATATCGGCTGGTCAGGCTAGAAGCTTTGCACGTGTGACTCTTTTTAGTAAGGAAACAAAGAGGAGATACTCTTCTCACCCTGCTGCAAAGGTTTGCTGCGAGTCGGGCCACCTGTCAGTGCCATGTAGAAGGGAGGAGCTTGCAGAAGCACACATTGCTGAAAACAGTTATATCAGAGCATTCAGTCCTCTCACATGTTGTCACCAAAGTCTCCAAAAACACATAAAAATACCTGTTAGATTTGTCTCTAATCTCTTTGAAACAAAAGGGTTCCGAAACATAATCTAATGTGGTAACAAAATTACTTACAGCAACAGTTTGCGCACTTTTGAAAAAAAAATGTCTGGGGGCTGGTTTTGCTTTTGCATCGGCTTAGTTACACTTTAACATTTAGATCAAGAAACTGGAAGAATCTGCTAACAAACTGTCTGATAAAAAATACAACTTTGTGTACTCAGCAATGTTGTATTTTCCTCCTTTTTAGTTTGTGGAGACCTTAACTTGCCAACACAACCCACAACCACAGACCACAGCAGCAATAATGAAATATTTTGGCTCTGGGCGACAGCGGTGGTGATGTGTTTCAGAATCAAGGGACAAAAGGTGTATTGCCTAGAGTGCAAACAGAGAAGAAATGTTGTCATCAACCACCTTGACCTGAGAGGGATTGTTCCTATGACCAGCGAAACACCATTAAAGAGTATCTTCTGAAGTGAAATCAAACATTTCCCACTATTTTCCCAATCAGAAGCAGGTTTGAACCCCATGACCTTTTAGTTTAGTGCAATATGCAAGTTAACTTGGATTAATAGAGCCTATTGGAGGGCTTGGCTAAGAAAGCCACATGAGGATGTGTGCAAGTAGAATGAGCTACTAGCAACAAGAAAAACTATACATAAAAAAGAAACATTTAACCCAGATACCATACATAGTTACCATCTTACATCACCTCAGGGCTGGTAACAGTGAATGCTCAAAGTTCAGAATTTTATTTTCAGCACAGGCTAAATGCATGTTAAGAAAAAAAAAAATGGAATTTTTAAAATATACAACTGTCAGAATTTCTATATACACTTATAATGTACAATATAACAACCTACAAACAATGTCTACACAATTATTTAGAATGCTGTCTGAATATGCACCTATGGACATTGCATTATATCTAATTTACATTGAAAGTTTACTAGAATACGTTACAAGGCTGTTCAGATTACTGTCATTTGCATGCCTGCCTACAGAGTCTCTTAAATTTACATGCAGATATCTATTTCAGTAATAGATCACTTGTGGTATTTCTTTAGAATAGCTTACTAAGATAAGCCCTGTATTTGCCTATCTTCACTGTTTATGTAGTGTTAGTTTACAGTTTTCAAACACTTTAAATGGATGTTTTACTAATTGTTGCAACCTTGTCTTTTTGCTTTAAAAGCTTACTTGGAAAGAAAAATGACACATTCTGCATTTTCTTACAGTTGTCAAATTAGTTTTTATTGAAAAAAAATGAAGATATTTGCTTATTTAAAACTGTAAAAACAAAAGACAGATACAAAAACAAAAAGGAATATATTTACCTTTATATTTCACTTGAAAAAAAAAAAAAAATCCCAAGTTCAAGAGGCAATCATCCTTGCTGTTGCACTTCCATCACCAGGTTCTGTATATGCCATGTGGTGCCATTTCTTTAGTAAAATGACTGGGATCATCCCAATAAAAATGCAGTGCAACTCAATGATTCCCATGGAATTGAATAAAGGCAGTGTACATAAATCAACAAGGGCAAAACGACTCGGAAAATGGCAGAAACTCTCCCGATCAAAATAATCTTGACAAAACATTTGATCGAATATTCTGTGGAGCGATGAGGGATAGTTAAACATTGAGAAAACAAGGTGTCCAGTAACATAAACTACAGGTTTTAAGAAACAACAAGCTTAATATAAATAATGGGGGTAAATACCTTAGGTCTTTCTGATTATTTTGGAAAACATGTTTAAAGCGGACACCAGTGACGTGCGGTGAGGTTCATAGCTGGTGAGGCACTGACGTCATCAGAATCAGATTTGCAAATAGATGCATAGATTGACAGCAGTTTACAGGTTATGTTTCACTTCTGCATCCTTACACATACAAACTGTAGCTCACAAAACACACATTTCCTTAAAAAACAAAACAAAATAAATGTTATTACTGTCTTACCTTTACTTATAAATGAATAGAAGTCCTCCTTATCTTCCTTCAGTTTTAAAAGTCTCTCTGTCTCAATGGAGATCACTGCCAGGGAAGAAAGCCTTCCTTGATCCGTCCTGTTCCTGCCTTATGTTTTCAGTCTCTTGAGCACCCCCTGCCATGAGGCAAGAGAACTGCCTGCCTCACCTCGAACTTGTTCTCTGCCGTTTATAATCGCTCATTACACGAAACACGTTACACAAACACAGTTGGTGACAAAAAGCTCTGTACATTATATACATAAGCCAAATTATTAGAAATAAGTTCACATATTACATTTGTTTAAACCATTTTATTGACGCCGTACAGCAACATGCTCTCTCCGCTTTGCAGCCAGCGCAGAGCCAGGGGTTGCGCAATCCAAGGTGAGGCAGAGCTCGCTGCTGCCTCACCGGCATCGCTTCCAAGCATTTGAATGGGAAAATAAGAAAATTCAGCGATTTTGAACAAATAAAAATCGAAATTGGTGAAGCTACATGAAAAATGAATATTTTTTAGTACAAACCACCGGATGAATATAACAATTTAAATTACTTTATGATTATATATTTTCTTTCTTTCCATGATGGCTGGTGAGGCACTGCCTCACCTGCCTCCCCTGACCGCACGTCACTGGCGGACACAAATACAAAACATTATCATCAATTGATTGATCAGTTGGAAGTTTTATTCACATATAACAACTGATCTATTAGAAATGAATCCCTGCACTATATTTCAAAATACATAGAACCAGTTTACTCTGTAACATGTGCATGTGCAACAGGGATCAGCTTGTAATCGTGTGTCCCTTGCACTGAAATTATTTGCATGTGTATTATTAAAACACACAGGTACACAGAAAGCCTTGTAAGTCTTTTTTCCCCCCATTGATTCCCATTCGCCTGCTGTTTGAAATCACACTGACCTCTCTTTCATCACAGTCTCCGCCTTTTTTTACGCCACGCCGACCTTACAACTGCCAGGAAATCCGTCCAATTGAAATTTAGTTTCCCATGTAAGGCATATCCCATTGACCAATCAGCGGCCGGAGGAGGCGGAACCTGTGTGGGCCTGGTTTTCACGTTTGGTTGCTGAGGTAAGCTCCCGTTGGAAATTTGACTTTTCTTTTAAAAATATTTTATTCCCTATGGCGGTGTATAGTTTAATATCGTCACCTGCTGCCGTGTGTTGTTGTATCAGTTGAAATAACCACCATTCGCTGCATAACAGTTCTTAATAGCGTGTTTGGGTCTGATTGAAGCGCTGCAAAGTATCTGAAGCATAGAGAACAACGGTGATTTTTTTAACTGACAACCCTTTTATTGATAATAATCAATGACTTTACTGTCAGATAAAATGCTCATCCCGTTGCTCATTAAAATAACATGTTTCTCGCATGTCAAAATCATTGTATGTTTATATTTAATATAAAATCTATCTGTGTCGGTCAGTTTTTAAGCGCTTCTTTTGTTTTCCTGTTGTTTATAATAATTTAGCTAAGTGTCAGTTTTGTTTACAAATGCTCCACCGTTTGTATCTCTGTAGGAGAAACACGTGAACTGAAACTTAACATCCAGTACAGTCTGTTAGAGTAATTATCTGTTGTTTGCTCAATGTTTCAGAAAGCAGTACACCCTGCTGTTTAAGGTGACTGATCAGAGGAGACCACACAACCACACCTCTTCTACAAGCAGACCTCTCTGCTTGCTTTGGACCTGGGCAACTTTTCTTTTTTTTTTTTTTTTTTGAACGGGATGGATTTTGAAAAAACATAACTTGGATATACACATTTAACGTTTTTTTGTTTGGATATTTTGCAAGGAGTTACCAAAGTTTCCGAGGGGAGAACATACAGCTTGTTTTTTGACGTTAATATAGCTGAGATGGACCAAGCCAGCGGAGGGGAGGATCCCAATAAGCCCTCCAAAAAGAAATCCAGCGAGGATGAGGGTAAAAACAAAAAGCTGGTAGGTATTAGGAGTAGATCTAAATTGTTGAATGAAATGTAAGTGAAAAAACAAAACAAAAACAGTTGCAATAAATCGATGTTAAAGCATCTGTATAGGTACAGACCACTCAGTTGTTACAGGACATTAGGCTGAAGTTATTGATGTGTTATTATTATTTAATGTATGCCACTACAAAGTGCTTATAAGAGAGTTTAGCAAAACAAGATGCTGTTTCCTGAGTGCTTTGAATTTCATGGCACTAAGTAGATCATCTTATCAATGCTGTTCCTAAAAGTTGGGTTCTGAAGAGTTCTCTTGTTGTGACAGCTAGACCTGTCTGCTCTCCAGGGGGGAATTTACTATTAGGCAATACTAGTTAGTTGCTGAGGGCACCATGTTCCCGGGGCCCCCATAAAACTCTGTTTAGTTGTATAGTTGATACAATTATTCCTTATTTGTGCTCATTAATTATGTTTTTGATAAAAATCCTTTCGCTAAAATGCGATCAGAACGCTTATAATATTAGATGTGTCTCAGCCCCCCTTCAGTGTCCACCAATTTGGATCAGTCTTTTAGCTGCACATGTTGAGAAAGGTCCAAACGGACAGCAGCAAACCATTTGAAAACAAATGAGCAGTGTTGCCAACTTAGAGCTTTTTTCTCTATGTTTAGCAACTTTTCAGACCCCTCTAGTACTTTAATTTAAAAAGAGCGCCTAGCGCCAAATCTAGCTACTTTTTTCTGCTACTAGAGACTTTGGCGACAACATATAAAAGCACCCAACTCTGCTCTCTAGAGCAAGTAGATTCGTAACCTCGCCTCCTGCTCTCTTCTATCTTGTCTGCTGTTATTATTCGTGCAGCTGTTATTTCATACCAATGAATAGTGGAGAACAGATAAGCAGATCGTGGCCTTTCTACAGTGAAAAGAAGGACTGGGTTATTTACTTTTGCCGTCGCCTTTTTGGAAACACAGGAAAGAGCAATCAGCTAAATGAGCTTAGTGATTGGAAAAAATCTTTCGTTCCTTTTGAGATGGCATGAAAAGTCAGCTGATTAGAAAACAGAGAGGAAAACAACAAGAAACAAGAAGAGAGGGACAACATTTAGAACAAATAATGTATGTCTATTTTATTAAAATTTCTGTATCAGTATAATGGGTCTGTTTTATTTGTTGTCTTCTCAATTCAGAGGCCCCCTTGCCTGCTTTTCCTAGGGCCCCAAATTTCTTAAATCCGTCCCTGCTGCTCTCACATGTTCAGATAGACTTTGTTACTGGATGACTTGCTGCACAGCGTGGAGGCGGTTATTGTGGGGCTGGTAATAAATTCTGAGTGTATGTGATTGATAAAAAGAAACCTTAGTCAGCATTAGGGCTGCATGTGTGAGATAACCGGAAACTTCAGTTGGCATTTTGGTTCATGAGTAGCTTCAACATCAGTTTGGCTTAAGGAAGTCATTTAGGTTGAGAGAGAAGTGTGCTTATTAAAAAAAAAAAGGTCTGTAATTAGAGACTCAGTGTTTTTTTTAAGTAGTATGTTTCTGGGAATAAAAGGGGCTGTAGTTACTTTTATATCAGTACAATGTAAAGTGAACATCTTCTAATGCAATAACCCATCTCATGTGGTTTAATGTGTTGAACATAAGGTGCAATACAACACACTTGAATAACCACAAACCACAATGTGACATTTTTTTTCTTTCATGTTGTTTGACAGATCAAGAAAATTTAGTGCATACTTGAGAGATGGGAAGGATGTGACACATTTCTAAATGTGTAAAGAAAAGTTGAGAAATCAGCTGTGCATTTGTATTCTGCCTTAGCTGAATCGATTCTCTATAGAATCATGTTTTTCTGTGATTTTTATATTAAAATAAATTTTTGTGGGGATTTATGGATAGAGTTATGGTCAGAAAGTATCCCCTAAACATTGGTTTTTGGTTTCTGTCAATTACTCTCTTGGACGTTTACTGGATTACTCTAATTCCCTATTCTTAGATGTACGTAGATCTGTGTAATGTGGCTCCAGCTGTATGTTAGGGATGTTGTCCTGCTGGAAGGTGGATCTCTGCCTCATCTTAAATATTAACTATCTAACTATGCGTTCCCTCTGAAAACCAGGATTTTTCAAAACCTGGTTAACACGCTAACAACCTACTTTTGGCTCTTTTCCCATTTGACCGAAAAACGGAGTCTGACCCCCTGCTGGCTGGCTGTGTGGCCACTGTTCCCCACCACTGCATGTCTGATGACAGCATCATGCTGGGTGAGCGTTTATAATGTCGACAGTGCAACAGAAATCAGTGAAGTAAATAACGGAGAGCTACATAGACGGGAGCCAGAGTGTAGTCGGTAATCTTGCTCATTTATCTGTCCGAAACCCTCTCAATAGTGCTGCGCCATGTTTATCGAATGTAAACACGGTTCTTTCAGCTTGTTAGATCAGAAGCGACTGGCGCAGTGTGTTGACGTCCATATGTTGCGTTCAATGATGTCACATAATTTGGCGGGTCTACCTGGTCTGGTGTTCCCACAGTATACCGATCAGAGCCGAGGTGATTTTAATTCAGGTCGCTTGCTGAATCATTTGACCCGAGTAGCCACTCATTAGTGAGCTGTTCCCACTGCCACTTAAAGCCAATTATTCTCGGGTTTATCAGGTTTTTCAGCCAGTGAAAAGGGGTATAATATTTTTCTATATTCAGCGCAATTTATTTATTTTTATTTATGTTTTGCCATGAGGATGATGTTAACATGTTTTTTTTTTTAAACTTTTCCACGTCATCTTTGACTTTACTGCAGCTCTCCTTGGTCTTCTTTAGGCTCTCAAAGATCTAAAATACAAAAGCATGCCACATTTTTCAGATTTCTATGAAAAAAATATCAATACCACACATTATTCTCCTTCCCCTTTGAAAATTTGCAATACTTTTTGTTGACTTATTACATAAAACCACAAAGAAATACAGAATAATGCGTGGTATTGTAAAAAGTTCTAAGTTTTGAAAGGCAATAGAAGTTTCTCTTCCTGTCAGGATGATCTAAAACGTTTCATCTCTCACATTCATTTAGAAAGTTTCCCTTATGAGTAGCTGTGTGACTATCTGCTGTTCTCCCTGAGACTGTTTATGTGTTTGGTTGGTAGGGAAAATGTGACCGCAGTTGGCGACATCAGTTCTTAGCTGCCAATAACAAACCGGCAGCATGTGTTGCAACTTGTGGCTTTTTTCTTTCTTTCTAGGATTTCCAAATGTTGAGGTTTTAACCTTTTAATTGTGTAACTTTACAAAAAGTACAGTTAGACAGAAGCTGTTTTAGCGCATGATTATATAGATATGCTTATAAGAAGTAAAATAGGTATAAGACACTACGTTTAATTAGTAACAAGGTTATTCATAATTTTACATTATACCACCAGTTATAGACCCTTGTTAAAGTTTGGAGCTATCTGTTTATCTTACCATTTAGACTTAGCTTTGAGTGCATTAAGCCCTTTCACTTCTGTGTGAAAGTTCTGTTACATCAGTTTCTGGTCTTCTCTTTCTACATGGAATATTTATTAGAGATAACGAAATGAGACTTTTCAAAATATCCGCCCTTTATTTTGCTTGGAGAGGCATTTCTGTGCCTCTCAAAGTATCTTATTGTCTGCTGACAGCACTGATGTATGAACTGCACGTCTGTTGGTCCCTATGCACTAAGAGGGCTGAGTTGATCACAGCCGCCTTAGCGCAAAGGGACCGCAGGCTGTGAGACTCCCTACCGTTGTTAACAAGGGCTTACAAAGTAGTGTCTTTGCTAACGTTACCCCAGATCTTTATCCTTAGAGGTTTGCTCTCTCTCACTTCAAAGGAGGGGATGCTTAAGTTTCAACTGGGGATGCAGAGCAGGGCTCTTTCAGAGCTAAACTGAAACCATCCTCAAAGGTTGTCTATCAGAGACAAACATGCTAAATCTAATGATATTTGCTTATGATGCAGTCTCCATTGATTTGCCTGATCCTGCACATATGCAGTCTGTGTTATCGTCTATGTGGAGTTCGGCCAATGCTTGAGCAGGTCAGCGGAGGTCATTTCATTAGATGGTTTAGCCGGTTGTAGTGCATTTCTGTAACTTATAACTGCTCATAGCTAAAGTGATTTTTTAAAACTCAGTTTTTCTGTGATATTGACATAGGTATTGGAGCAATGCAGTTTTTTTTTCTTTTTTTTAGGGGAGCTAATGAAGTATTAGTAAATCATTTAATTGTTTAAAATGGTAAATACACAAAAATGCAAGAAACCAATAAAAAAAAAAGAAGGTCAGCCGTTCATTCAGTTTGTCATTTTAAACTTGTCATACTGTTTGGTTTATTTGTATCTGGTTTTATTTTTAAGATCAGAACAGAGTTTTCCTTTACAAGTAAGCCAATTTGTAATCGCTATTGGGAGGTTTGATGAAAGAGCTAAATTACTAAGTACTACACCTGCTGAAGAACTTTCTGGTTTTTGAAAAATTTCAAGCGTTTTTGAAAATCTCATGGAAAAAGTAAGGATTTAAAATTTCTTAGTACAAACAAAGAAGCATTTTTTATGAGGAAAAGGTCAAATTGAGCTAATTTCCAATAAAGAAATTAAGGTATGTTAGCTCAAATATTATTATTGTCTCTTTATAGAGAAAAATAATTGTAAACATATGACAGGATTCTAAATGCTGTTAAGCTCTGATCTTAAAGAGAATTTGGCATAGTTTAAAACAACAATAGCAGAACATGACAGGGCCAAAATCTCTGAGCTGTATGATGTACAAATTCGACATGCATGTAAAATAGTTATATATTTATAAATATTGCTTGCAATGATCTAAATTGAGGTTTATAAAGTCTTTACATTTTGTGAGACAAGGAAAGTAGATTGCAACGTTACTGTTTATCTGGATTTTTTAATGTATACAGGAAGAGATGAGACTGACGAATAAAGAATTGGGGGAAAAATGAAAACAGGTGATTTATATAACTCAAGGTTGGAAATGATCTTAAC